GGAGCAGTGGGAGCTGGACGAGGAGGGTATCCGCCGCCTGGGGGCGCTGACCCTGGAGCAGCCCGGTAGGGCCCTGGGTTGGGGGAACTCACAGTCGGAAGCTGGGGAGAGAAAACTGGGGTGGAGGCAGGGGAACCGAGATAGAGGCGGGGAAACAAGGAGGAGCAGTGCCTGAGGCTAAGGAGGGAAGGGTACATTGAGGCAGAAGAGTTACACTGAGGTGGAGAAGGAGGAACTGAAATAACAGGAGGGTCTGGTGCAGAGAGAGGGCAAGGAATTGAGGCAGAGGAGGGACTGTGGAGTAGAGAAGGAGAAACAAGATTAACAGGCGTCCCTGCGGCAGGTGACAGAACTGGACAGAGTAAAGAAGTCTGAACTGGTGGAAGGAAACTGAGCCCCAAGGGAGGCGTTGTGGGAGAAGGGAAGTGCTGAGAAGGGCAATGGTGTTGGAAGGCGCTGCTGAGTAGGCTAAAAGTCGTTAATTTGGGCAGTTTCTGAAACTTCCTCCTCAGCAGGGCTTTCCCTAGTCGGGGTGGAATGGAAAAGGACGCGTCTTTTTCAGCCCTTTCCGTCGTCCTGCCTCCACTTCGAGAACTTACCATTTCTTTGATCCATCAGGATGTGTAGCTTCTTTTTAAGAAAGACTCAGAAGGGGCCTGATGTGAAAGGTATATAGCAACTATCCTTCAAGCCGCTTGGGTTAGTGCCCCAGCCCTGACTTCACACTAGGTAAAACTGACGGAGCGATTGCTGACCCTACATTTGACCTGGGGTCTGGACTCATAGCTTGCTCTCTGAGTGTCCAAGGAGTAAAAAAACTGGAAAAATTACCAGCATTCCTAATTCAGCCTTTACTTTCCCTATTACTACATCATTATTGCCAGGCCCTGTGATAAATACTTTGCCTGAATTATTTAATCCTCATACCGAGCCTATAAGGCACATGCTGCTGTTGTTCCCATTTTACAGATTAGTAAAATTAGGTTTAGACCCTTGCCCAAGGTTATACAGCTAATAAAGTGATTCTGCCAGGGTGTATTAATCCAGGACTCTGAGTCCAGAGTTTGTGCTCTAAGCATGACAAAAAGTTGCCTGCCTTGTTTCCACTACTTTTCATTTGTGAGCTATTAAATAACTTGGGTTTATTTATGTGTAGTTTTATTTAACATTTATATATTATTTTAATATTATCAAAATTAGTGCATACTAATAAACATTATATGGGTGAATAAAGACAGTACTATTCATTCCTTCCTTTTGGAAACCCTCCCACAGATAACCAAAGATACTACTTTGGTGTGTAAGTAGATTGATGTAGGTAATTTAGGTATATTTTTTCCTTTTCCAAACTATTTTGAACTACCCTATTTTACAAGTCAGCTAGGAAAACATTTATTGGTTTGATACACTTCTAGGACTTCTTTGTCTTTTTGTTTCAAGTACTGATTCGGTTTTGATCAGTGGCTGGGAGCACATACTCCTTCCATTCTTCAGCTAGAACAATGTAGCAGATATTTTTCTCTTTGGTTTTTTTTCTGGCATTTGAATAACAAAATTAATTGTGCTTATTCTGAAAATTCATACAACATAGAAGTGTGTAGAGTAAAATAATGGCTGGGCATGGTGGCTCACGCCAGTAATCCTAACACTTTGGAGGGCCTAGGCAAGAGAATTGAGTTTGAGACTAGCCTGGGCAACATAGTGAGTCTTCATCACTACAAAAAATAAAAAACTTAGCAAGATGTGATTGTGTGTGCCTGTAGACCCAACTATTCTGGAGGCTGAGGAGGAAGGATCACCTGAACCCTGGAGGTCAAGACTGCAGTCGCCGTGATCGTGCCACTGCACTCTAGCCTGGGCGACAGATTGAGACTCTGACTGGAAAAATTAAATGAAGTAAAATAACATTTTTCTTTCTCCTTTCTTCCATCCTTTTCTGTTGCTTATACAAACAAATATATACAGGTACCTTAAAAAATAACATGTTATTTGACAATTTGCTTTTTTCACTTACCAATAAAACCAGGATATTTTTCAATTAAATGAACATGCTGGTATATGCATTATAAAATTCTTCTGTAAGAAATCACAATGATCACCTTTGGTGAGAAAGTTTGTTTTGTTTTGGTTTTTTTGAGTTGTAGTCTCACTCTGTCTCCCAGACTGGAGTGCAGTGGCACACTCACGGCCACCACAGCCTCAACCTGCTAGGCTCAGGCGATCCTTCCACCTCAGCCTTCCAAGTAACTAGAACTATTGGTGCTTGCTACCATGCCCAGCTAATTTTTTTTTTTTTTTTTTAATTGTAGAGACGAGGTCTCACCAAGTTGCCCAGGCTGGTCTCGAACCCCTGGGTTCAGGAAATCCTCTTACCTTGGCCTCCCAAAGTGCTGGGATTACAGGTTTCAGCCACTCTGCCCAGCCAGTGAGAGAAATTTTTACTTTTATTCTGTACTTCTCTGTACTGTTGGTATTTTGTGACCATGTAGTAGGCATTACTATTTTTGAAGTATAAAGGGATAATCTTGGTGCAATTATGGACCTTTTTTGTTTGTTTTCTTTGTTTTATTTCTTTTGATTAAAAAATTGCAATAAATGCTTACATTGTCCTTCATCATGTGGAAAAATTTTAACTTAAGGTAGTGAAGTTTATTCTTCCTTATGATTTGTGCTTTTTATGTCTTATTTATGAACTCTTTCACTATGTTGATGTAATAGACACCTGAATTTAAAAAGTTTTTTTATTATAAAGATGTGGGGTACAATTCAGGGTTAGGTATACAAACACTGATCATGCAGGTACCCCTGTTGATGAAGTATGCCCCTCCCTTCTCTAGCAGTTTCCCTCAACTGCCAATTAAATTTTTTTCTTAAAAATCTGCAATTTTGGCTGAGGTGAGTGGATTGCCTGAGCCCGAGGGTTCGAGACCCGCCTGGGTAGCGAGACCTCATCTCTACAATAAATCAAAAAATCAGCCGGGCGTGGTAGCGCATGCCTGTAATTCCAGCTACTCGGAAGGCTGAGGTGGAAGGATCGCCGGAGCCCAGCAGGTCAAGGCTGCGGTGGCCGGGAGCGGCCACTGCACTCCAGTCTGGGCGACAGAGTGAGACTCCAACTCAAAAAAAAAAAAATCTGCAATTTTGTTTTTCACATTAAGTCTACTCTAGCTGGAGTTTATTTTTATACATGTTGTGTGATATGGATATAACTGTCTTTTTTAATATGATAACCAGTTTCCCCAGAATGTGGTTCTTGATAACTGGTAAAGTCAATGCCCTTTCTCTCTTTACCTCCCCTTCCTCCTTCTTCAAAATTATCAGAGAGTGCCGGTCTCGGTGGCTCAGCCTGTAATCCCGCGCCTTGGGAGGCTGAGGTGAGTGGATTGCCTGAGCCCGTGGGTTCGAGACCCACCTGGGCAACTTGGTGAGACCTCATCTCTACAATAAAAATCAAAAAATTAGCCGGGTGCGGTAGCGCGTGCCTGTAGTTCCAGCTACTTGGAAGGCTGAGGCGGAAGGATTACCAGCAATCCTCACCAGCAGGTCGAGGCTGCGGTAACCAGGAGTGGCCACTGCACTCTAGTCTGGGTGACAGAGTGAGACTCCAACTCAAAAAAAAAATTATTAGTAATTATTAGTAAAAATTATTATTAATGTATCAAAAGAGTAATTGTCAACTGTGCCCTTTACGCCCACCTAATAATTTAGAATTAGCTTGTCATTTCCATTAAAGCATTTTAAAGCAGGGATGTAATTTGGTTTAATATTCCTGTAGAAAATGACTCTCACTCATCAAAAGCCTGTTACAGTGATCCAGGTAAGAGATAATGAATGATGGCTTGGACTAAGAGGATGAAAGTGGAGATAAAAACAAGTGGACAGAGTCAAGTGTAATGTAGGGAAAGAAGGAGGAGGATTTACAAAAAAGATTGGATGTGGGAAATGGGGAGAAGGAACAAGACTACACTTAGTCTTGGTGTAAGGTATTGCTGAGTAGATAGTGGTACTGTTTATTGAGAGAGAGTGTGTGTAGACTATGAGCAAAACAGCTTTGGGGAAGGGGAGTTAAGAGATCTGTTTTGGGCATGTTAAGTTTAAAATGCCTTTAAACATCCAAGTGTGAGGTACTTAGCAGGTAGTTGGATATATGAATCTGGATTTCAGAGGCAAGGTCAGGATTTGAGATGTAAGTTTTGGAGACTTGAGCAATAGGTGGTATGTAAAGCCATGGGCCTGGATGAACTCACCTAAGGAGAGAATGTGGATGGAGAAGAGAAGAAAACTCAATACTGAAGCTTGGAATATTTCAATGTTTAGAGGTTGAGTAGAGGAGGAGGGATGTGATATCTTGGATTTTGAGAAAGGGTAGTGTATCAAGAGAGTAATGGTCAGCTGTGCCAAATGCTATTGACAGGCTAAGCAAGTTAAGTGCAGAGAAGCATCTGTTAGATTTGGCCACATGGAACTCACTAGTGACCTTGACAAGGGGAGTTTTGGTAGAGTGGGTAGGAACAAAACCACATTGGAGTGGGGTGAAAAAGGGAATGATATTTGAGGAAGAAGAGGTAGTGAAGGTAAGAACTTTTGCTGAAAAATTTGGCTATGAAGGAGAATACAGAAGTGGAATGGTAGCTGAAAGGTATGATATGCAGTCAAGAACAGTGGTACTAGGCTAGGTATAGTGGCATATGCCTGTAATCCCAGCACTTTGGGAGACCGAGGTGAGAGGATAACTTTAGCCCAGGAGTTCAAGACTAGCCTAAGCAACATAGTGAGACCTCGTCTCTACCAAAAAAAAAAAAAAAAAATAGCCAGGTGTGGTGGTGCACACCTGTAGTCCCAGCTACTCAGGAGGCTGAGGCAGAAGGATTGTCTGAGCCCAGGAGGTCGAGGCTGCAGTGAGCTGTGATCATGCTACTGCACTTCAACCTGGGTGATAGAGCAAGATCCCAACTCAAAAACAAAACAAAAAAGAACAGCTACACTAGAATAGTATATACTAGAGCATGTTTGTGTGAGATAATTATTCTGTAGAGAGAGAAAAGATGTAAACTTTTTTGGTTGTTAAAATAATCAGTTTTACTATATGGGTTATCTAACAATTGCACAGCGAAAAGTAACTCTTGAACCACCCCTTATCCCATAGGCCCAGTTTCCCTTCCTAGCAGCAATTACTGTTACCAATATCTTGGATAGCTTTCCAGAATTATTCTCTACATATACAAGTATATATCACTTATTTTATAATTGTTTATTATGGCAGTTTTCAAATAGATACAAGCGTAAGTATAACAGAATAATGAACTCCCATCACCCTCCCTCAACAGTTATCATTAGTTCATGGCCAAGCATCTTTTTTATGCAAAATTCAATGAAATTTTATTGTATTTTATTTTTGATATTAAAAATTTTTTTTCTCTTTTAATTTTTTTATTTTAAAGATGCTACAATTCAGGGTTAGGTATACAAATGTTCATTATGCAGATACCCTTGTTGATGAGGTGTGCCCCCCCTCCTGCAGATTCCCACTACTGCCAATCCTGCCTCCCCATCCCTCTGGCAGTTTCCCACTACTGCCAATCCTTTTCTTACAGTATTATGCTAATTTTTCAAGGTCCGCTTATGAGTGAGAACATGTGATACTCAGTTATTTGTTTCTGTGATATATACACCACTCAGTATTATACAGACTCTAAGTCCATCCAGGTTGCTGTGAAGTTCATTTTTTATGGCTGCATAACATTCCATCGTGTATATGTACCACATTTTAAAAAATCCAGTCCTCTTTTGATGGGCAGCACAGTGGTTCCATGTTCTTGCTTCTGTGAACAATGCTGCAATAAACATACGTGTGCAGGTATCTTTTTCATAGAGTGATTTGAATTCTTCCAGGAATATTCCCAGTAGGGGGATTGCTGGGTCATAAGGAAGGTCAATTTTTAAGTCTTTTCAGAATCGACACACTGTTTTCCACAGAGGCTGTACTAGTTTACACTTGCACCAGTGTAGAAGTGTTCCCTTTTGGCCAAGCATCTCTTATATTTATTTTACCTATCCTCCATCCACCTCCAACCCCCTACACTGATTATTTTGAATCATATCCCAGGTATAGGATTTCTTCCATATTTCAATATATATCTTCAAAAGATAAGAATGTTTTAAAAATAATCACATATGAGCCGGGCTCAGTGGCTCAGCCTGTAATCCCGCACTTTGGGAGGCTGAGGTGAGTGGATTGCCTGAGCCCGCGGGTTCGAGACCTGCCTGGGCAACTTGGCGAGACCTCATCTCTACAATAAATCAAAAATTAGCCAGGCGTGGTAGCGCATGCCTGTAGTTCCAGCTACTCGGAAGGCTGAGGCGGAAGGATTGCTGGAGCCCAGCAGGTCGAGGCTGTGGTGGGTGGGAGTGGCCACTGCACTCCAGTCTGGGCGACAGAGTGAGACTCCAACTTAAATAAATAAATAAATAAATAAAATAATTACCTATGCAACCCCAAAATATTTAATAATAATTTTTTAATATTATCAAATATCCAACCAGTGTTCTTCCCCAATTGTCTCATATGTGTGTGTGTATATGTAGATATATACATATATATATTTTTTTTTTTTTGAGACAGGGTCTCATTATGTTGCCCAGGCTGGCGTGCAGTGGTACAATCATGGTTCACTGCAGCCTCAACTTTCTAGACTCAAGCAGTTCTCCCACCTCAGCCACCTAAGTAGCTGGGCCTACAGACATGCACCACCATGCCTAGCTAAGTTTAAATATTTTTTTTGTAGAGACAGAATCTTAATGTGTTAACCAGTCTGATCTCAAACTTCTGGACTAAAGCAGTCCTCCCATCTCAGCCTCCCAAAGTGCTGGGATTATAAGGATGTGCCATTGCACCAGGCCTAAAATTTTTCTTTTTCTTTTTAAAATCAGGATTCATATAAGGTCTGTATATTGCAATTGGTGGATATATGTCTCAAAGCATATTTGATCTATAGATTCCCCCTTCTTTCCCCCTATCTTTTCAATTGTTTTTTAATAAACTGAGTAATTTATCCTGAAGAGTTAACTACAGTCTGGATTTTGCCTCATTGTATTCCTAAGATGTTTAACATTTCCCCCTGTTCCCTTTATTTCCTATGTATTGGTAATTAGATGAGCCTTAATAAGATTCAGGTTTAATTTTCTTACAATACTATTTCTTGGTAATGGCGTATACTTATGTTAGGAAGTATTTAATACCTAATGTTCTTTCTTTTTGTGATATCTGCTACTGAATATGATTGCCTATGTACATTCATTAGGGATTGCAAAATGGTAACTGTCTAATTTCTGTCTTTCATTCTTTTTCATTAACTGTAATACTTCTGTAAAGAGAAATTTCCTCACATTAACTGTTTGGTTATCCTGAGGTACACTTTGTGTAGGAAAGGCAGGATAAAAGCTTGATTTTTTTCACTTTATTTACCAGTTTTCAGAATAATGAGCTGTTTTTTCTTTGTTTTTTGAGTTGGAGTCTCACTCTGTCACCCAGGCTGGAGTGCAGTGGCACGCTCACGGCCAATCCAGCATTGATCTGCTGGGCTCCAACAATCCTCCCGCCTCAGCCGAAACTACAGGTGTGCGCTAATTTTTTATTTATTGTAGAGATTAGGTCTTACCAAGTTTCCCGGGCTGGTCTTGAATCTGTAGGCTCAGGCAATCCACTCGCCTTGGCCTCCCAAAGTGCTGGGATTATACTCTGAGCCACCAAGCCCGGCCATGAGTTGTTTTCATAGCATACTCCAGAGGTGACTGATGAGGACTGTTTTGCTTTCTCGGTATCATTATATACTCATCAATTTAAACATACATCTTAGTTCGTTTACTGTTGCCATAACAATACTACAGACTAGGTCATTTATAGAAAACAGAAGTTTGTATGGCTTATGGTTCTGGAGGCTGGGAAATCTAAGACCATGGTGCCAACATCTGATGAGGGTCGTTCCATGGTAGGAGGGCGGAAGATGTGTGTACACACAATAGAGAAAGAGAGAGGGAGGAAGAGATAAAGGGGACTAAGCTTACACTTTTGTAACATATCATATTGACTCATAAATTGTAACAAGTGTACCACAATAATGCAAGATGTTGATAATAGGGAAGGTGAAGGAAAGGTGCAATGGGGGAAGGGTATATGGGAACTCTGTACTTTAGGTTCAATTTCTCTGTAAACCTAAAGCTGCTTTAAAAAAATAAAGTTAGACCAGACATGGTGGCTCATGCCTGTAATCCAGCACTTTGGGGGGCTGAGGCAGGAGGATGCTTGAGGGCAGGACTGTACACTCTATGGGTTTTGACAAGTGTATAATGTCATGTGTCTACCATTATAACTAACTAACTGCTGAGATAAACTAACACTCCCACAATAGATACATTAATCTACTCATGACCTAATTACTTCTTAAAGGCCCCACATCCCAATACCATTATATTGAAAATTAAAAAATTTGTTTTATCTGTTTTTGTTTTTAGAGACAAGGTCTCACTCAGTTGCCCAGGCTAGAGTGCAGTGGCACGAGCATGGCTCACTACAAACTTGAACTCCTGGGCTCAGGTAAGCCTGCAGCCTCAATCTCCCAAGTAGCTGGGACTACAGGCATGCCCCACTCTGCCTGGCTAAGTTTTATACACTTTTTATAGAAACAGGATCTGGCTGTGAAGCACAGGCTGGTCTTGAACTCCTGCCCTCAAGCATCCTCCTGCCTCAGCCTCCCAAAGTACTGGATTACAGGCATGAGCCACCATGTCTGGTCTAACTTTATTTTTTTAAAGCAGCTTTAGGTTTACAGAGAAATTGAACATAAAGTACAGAGTTCCCATATACCCTTCCCCCATTGCACCTTTCCTTCACCTTCCCTATTATCAACATCTTGCATTATTGTGGTACACTTGCTGCAATTTATGAGTCAATATGATATATTATTTACTAAAATCTAGTTTATATTAAGGCTCACTCTTTGTGTTATATAGTTCTATGGGTTTTGACAAGTGTATAATGTCATGTGTCCACCATTATAATATCAAACAAAATAGTTTCACTGCTTCGAAAATCCCCTAGACCCCATCCTTCATCTCTTCCTCACATCGAAACCTCTAACAACTATTGATCTTCTTATTGTTACCCTTTTTCATAATGTCATATGGTTGAAATCATACACTATGTAACCTTTGCAGATTGACTTCTTTCACTTAGTAATATGTACTTAAAGCTCCTCCATTTTTTTCCATTGCTTGATAGATCATTTATTTATAAATGTATTCAAATAGTATTCCATTCTTGGACATACCATAGTTTGTTTATCCATTTACCTACTGAAGGACATCTTGTTTGCTTCAGGTTTGGCAATTATGAATAAAGCTGCTGCATTCAAGTGCAGGGTTTTATGTGGACATAAAGTTTCAACTCAGTCGAGTAAATACCAAGAGATTTACTAGATCATATTTGTTTAGCTTTGTAAGAAGCTGCCTAGCTGGGTGCACTGCTAGTGGTACCTGCTAGCGGTACACACCTGTAATTCCAGTTACTTGGGAAGCTGAGGCAGGAGTATCTCTTGATCCCAAGAGCCCGAAGTCAGTCTGGGCAACATAGTGAGACCCTGTCTCAAAATAAAACAAAATTTATTTTTTAAAAAAGAAGAAACTGTCACACTGTCTTCTAAGGTAACCATACTAATTTTTGCATTCCCACCAGCAATGAATGAGAGGTCCTGTTATCCATATCCTCACCAACATTTGGCATTGTCAAAGTTTTGGATTTTGACCTTTCTAATAACTGTGTAGTGGTATCTTATTATTTTAATTTGTACTTTCTTAATGACATGGTGTTGAATGCTTTTTCCTATATGTGCTTGCCATCTATCTGTTCAGTTCTTTCTTTTTTTTTTAGACAGGTCAACAGGTCTCGCTATGTTGCGTGATGTTGGTATCCAGGACATACAAATAACTGTTAAACTTAATGATAAGAAAACAAACAACCCAATTAAAATATGGAAAAAAGAAAAGCTGGGGATGATGATATGTGCCTGTAGTCCCAGCTACTCAGCAGGATGAGATGGGAGTATCAGTTGAGCCCAGGAGTTTGAGACCAGCTTTGGTAACATAGCAAGAACTATATGAAAAAAAAATCTGACCTCACATAGAAATGTAGTTGGAAAACAGAGGAGTATTTTAATAGTCTTTCAGAGAATTGTAGATATTCTTAATACGACATGAAAATTGGACAATTAGTAATTTTGTTTTGTTTTTGTTTTTGTTTTTTGTTTTTTGAGTTAAGTGTCTCACTCTGTCGCCCAGACTGGAGTGTAGTGGCTGCTCCCGGCCACCGCAGCCTCGACCTGATAGGCTCCAGTGAACCCTCCGCCTCAGCCTTCCAAGTAGCCGGAATTACAGGCATGCGCTACCACACCCAGCTGATTTTTTGATTTATTGTAGAGATGAAGTCTCGCTGCCCAGGCAGGTCTTGAACCCGCGGGCTCAGGCAATCCACTCACCTCAGCGTCCCAAAGACACAGGATTACAGGCTGAGCCACCGAGCCCAGCTTGTAATTTTTTTAAACATATTTTTTATTTTAAAATTGTGGGGTACAGTTAAGGGTTAAGTATACAAATATGCATCGTTCAGGCACCCTTGTTGATAAGGGGTGTCTCCCCACAATTAGTAATTTCTTAAAGTTTAATTGTGTGTGGAATCTGAAATCATATTAATGAATTTTTTGTCCTCTGTTATATTAAAATCCATCAGTGACTGGGCTTGGTGGCTCAGCCTGTAATCCTAGCACTTTGAGAGGGTGAGGTAAATGGATTGCTTGAGCCTGCAGGTTCGAGACCAGCCCGGGCAACGTGGCAACTCCTCATCTCTACAATAAATAAAAAATTAGCCAGGCGTGGTAGTGCATGCCTGTAGTTCTGGCTACTTGGAAAGCTGAGGCAGAAGGATCGCCAGAGCCCAGCAGGTAGATGCTGGGGTAACCATGAGTGTGCCACTGCTGTCCAGCCTGGGCGATGGAGAGAGACTCCAACTCAGAAAATAAAAATCCATTACTGTATATTGCATTTGAATGGATCTTTTACTTATGTATGATTTTGTAGCATCATGCATTGATCATTTGAAAAATATTGACTCTCGGCCGGGCGCAGTGACTCAAGCCTGTAATCCCAGCACTTTGGGAGGCTACGGTGAGAGGATTGCCTGAGCCCAGGGGTTCGAAACCAGCCTAAGCAATATGGTGAGATCTAGACTCTACAATAAATTTAAAAATTAGCTGAGTGTGGTAGCACACACCTGTAGTTCCAGCTACTTGGAAGGCTGAAGCAGAAGGATCACCTGAGCCCAGCAGATTGAGGCTGCATTGGCTCACGCCATGAGCGTGCCACTGCACTCCAGCCTGGGTTACAGAGTGAGACTTCAACTCAAAAAAATAAAGAAAAAAAAGAAAAAGAAAAATATTGACTCTCTAAATTATGTAGATGTTACAAATGTTGATAAATATATGATGTTAAAAATCATTCATTAATATCATCAATGTCATCTGAAAGATCTTTAATTGTTGGGAAGCTTCAGGTTCATGGTGGCAGGTACAAGTTTTTCAAAATTCTAATTTCTGTTCTGAGACTGAAATATTATAATTGATAACAATTGCTACCAGTTGTTTTCCTAAAGTGACAGGCTCATTTTGTTTATTTTCAAAAAAAGGTCTGCCAGATATTCAAGTCTCAATAACTCTGACTTTTTTTTTTTTTCTCCAAGAAAAAACAGTAGCTAGTACAGCTCACAACTCAATCACAGAAGTGCTTTCCCTCTAGGTATCACCATCCTTCAGTATGCAGAAATACTTTTTGCATATTTTCCACTCAGTCACACAATATAAGAAAGGTGTACTCAAAGGTCAAAATGGTCAATTGTTGCTGCTTTATCAAGGGCACTCAAGTGAAACTGGCTTTTAAGGAGCACGGATAACAAACACAATGATTACTAGCAAACCTTGACACCACTGTCTTTATTCATCCTTAAGGTGCCAGTAGTTTTTACTCTTTGCACTATAATGTAAATGTTAACACAACTTAAAAAGGCAATTAATGTCTTTATATTAGCATGAAAATACTTTTTAAAAAATAGTTTTAACTTTGTGGACCCCTGTACATGTCGTGGTCAAGGGATGACAACACTTTGAGAACTGCTGCATTCCATGATATCCTCTAGCTTGTTATGAAATATTGTTACAGTTTTCATTTGTTTTGTGGATGTGTGTTTCTGGAGTGTTTTCATTTTTAGAGGTGTTAGTCTCTTTTTTTCTTATAGTAACCTCCCATAAGATCTGACTGTAATTCTTTACTGTGGCTCTTTTAAGTGCAGTCAGTTTAGCTATGCTTTTAGGTAGGAAAGGAGCGGGAATAGCTTTTCCAGTTTCAAGGTTTTGGAGCTCCCTCTTCTGTTGTGTTCACAAAGTACTACAAAACAGGGCCTCATGATTCGTGAAATCTGTCATCTCTGCCTACCTCCCCAACCTGTATCTTCCTTTGACCCTATTGTCCTTGCTCAAATCAATGTAGTTTCTACTCCCGCTTATTTATTCTTGGTATGGGTCTTGTCTTGAAAGAGGTCTTTGGTTTATGACTTATAGAGTTTATGGGACCCAGACTGCTCTAGCACCTTAATTATTTCTTTTTTTTTTTTGAGTTGGTGTCTCACTCTGTCACCCAGGCTAGAGTGCAGTGGCACACTCTTGGCCACCACTTCCTTGACCTGCTGGGCTCAGGTGATCCTTCTGCCTCAGCCTTCCAAGTAGCTGAAACTACAGGCACACGCCACCACACCTAGTTAACTTTTTGGTTTATTTTAGAGATGAGGTCTCACCAAGTTGTCCAGACTGATCTCGAACCCCTGGGCTCAGGCAATCCTCTTGCCTTGGCCTCCCAAAGTGCTGGGATTACAGGCTTGAGCCTCCATGCCCAGCTCACCTTAATTATTTCAGCACAGTCCCCTGATGCTCATCTGCAAATTGGATTCTGCAGAACTCACTTCCTGTTTTGGTTGCTATTCTGTTTGGCCTACCACACTTGCCAGTGAGTTCTTACTGGAAATTTTGGGATTCTCCTCTTTTCAATGCTGTTAGAAGTCTAGTTGACTTCCCTCTTATACACACATACACACTCTTTAAAAAACCGTTATACATGCAAAATATAATAATTATTCCTTAATTAGGAGTCTTGGAGATCTTTCCATATGAGCATCTATACATTTACCTCATTCTTTTTAATGACTGCATAACAGTAACACTTATGTAGTACTTACCATGTGCCAGGCACTGTTCTAGGTTTTATATATGTATGTTAATTTCATCCTTACAACATCTTATAAGTTAAATACTGTTACTACCCCCTTTGTACAGATAAGGAAACTGAGACACAGAGGAGTTAAGTGCCTTGTACAAGGTCACAGATCGAGTACATTGTCTAGGCTGTCTAGTTCTACTTTTCTACTGATGGACTTTTGACGGTTTTCTATTTCTTTATTTTTAAACTTTTTTTAAACTATCTTAAAACCTTTCTGAAATTGACATCCTTGTGCTACATTTTATATATCCTGGCAAAATTTTGTGAGTATTATCTATAGGCTAAATCCTAGCAGTGGGGTTGTTGAATTTATTCTGAAATTTTGTTTTGAGAACTTTTGAAAACTTTTACGACATCCTTGAGGGTAACTAGAAAAACCTAAGGACTCTATAAAACTAAGATTTGGTGTCACTGTATTGGACTATGTTACTGCTTTTAAAAAGAAGGTCTTACCTTTTACCCTTAGATGCAGGAACTTTCACAGTTTCGGGATATGGGAGGAAGGAAGGCCTATTTTCATTGACTCTGCTGTTTATCCAAGCAGAGGTCATAATATATCTACTGATGATCTCTTTTCAGAACTGGTGGAGTCTCTTTCATTGCAGGGATCTTATGCTGGAAAAATCCATTCCATTGGTGATGCTTTCAGAAATTTTAAAAATCTCCGATCCTTAGATTTATCAAGGAATTTGATCACTAGCTTAAAGGTAAGTTCTATATTCTATGGCCAGCCAGGTCAGCCCAATTTATTTTTTTGATGGATAATGTCAACCTGGAGAATATAGGATCTTCCTTTTAGATGCTTCCCAACTATATTTTATTATTTGCTATAAAATTCCTTCAACTTTGTTCTATATTTTAAATTATTAGTTATAAAATATTGGGAGAGGCTGGATGTGGTTGATTTGGGAGGCTGAGGTGGGCGAATTACTTGAGGCTGGGAGTTTGAGACTGGCCTAGGCAGTATAGTGAGACCTCATCTCTACAAAAAATTAGCCGGGTAGTGGCACACACCTGTAGTCCCAGCTACTCAGGAGGCTGAGGCAGGAGGATTGCTTGAGCCCAAGAGATAGAAGCTGTGGTCAGCCAAGATTGCCCTACTGTACTCCAGCCTGGGCAACAGAGTGAAACCCATCTCAAAAAAATAAAAATAAAAGATTAGGGAAATTTCTTATATTCAGGGAAAGTGATATTCAACTATCACTGCCTCGAGCAAGTCTCTCTACTCAGAGTCTCACTCTATTGCCCAGGCTGAGTTGTAGTGGCATAATCATGACTCACCGTAGCCTCGACCTCCTGGGTTCAGGCAATCCTTCTGCCTCAGTCTCCTAAGTATTTGGGGCTATAAGTTCATACCACCATGCCTGGCTAATTTTTTTGTAGAGACGAGGTCTTGCTATGTTGCCTAGGTTGGTCTCGAACTCCTAGGCTCAAGCAGTCCTCCTACCTTGGCCTCCCAAAGTGCTGGGATTACAAGGCATGAGCTACCACACCTGGCCAGTATAAATTTTAATGTGTGTAAAAAAATTATGAGAAGCACTTGTAATAGTACAGTTTCTAAGTCCCTACTCCAAGAGTAGGTATAGGGTGGGCTCAGGACATTCCCAAGGGATGGTGGTTCACAGAGTACACATGGAGAAACACTGGCCTATGTTGTTACTGTGGGTTTTTTCCTAGGAGGAGGAGGACAGGGTAGTCTTAGGGAAAAGAACAATTTTCAGGTCATGGGATGGTGGAGCAGACGACAGTACAAGAAAGCAGAAGGGAGCAAGCTGGAGCAGAGGGCATACAGATTGGCAAACACACAAAAGAGTTCTACAAACATAAGTGTGCACACACAGAGATGGAAGGATGCTTCTTCCACACGTTCCCATTTTGTCCCAGCTATGTACCTGTCTTGGCAAAACCTTTCTCTGCAAGACTGAAGGGAACCAAAACGCATAAAAAATATCCAGGATTAGTTAACAATCTTAAGGCTCAACAACTTAATCCAGATCCAATCCTTTAGTGAAGTGCCCTAAAAGAGGAAACCCAAGGAAGATCAAACTTCCATTGAAGACTATAAAAGCAGTGACTCAAAGTACATTAGGTCTTTAGACTATGTTTTAGCAGCCATTTATATTTGATCCACCAGTGTCAAATAGTATTAGCTCAGAGCTGCTTAGGTTTTCTTTTTTCATATGTGTATCTGTTTGCTTGTTCTTTTACACGTTAAAAAATTAAGTGACTACTGCTACAATTTGTTTTTATACTCCCTTTCTTTCCACTTCTATACACTAGGTGAAAAACATATGAAGATTAATCAAATTAACATGTGTAATCAAATAGAACATATATAATACTCCTGGTACAGTACTTGGCATACAGAAAGCACTCAGTAAATGTTAGTTTTCTATATTTTTGGCATCTATGATTTATCTGCATATATCCATCTTTAATAGCTCTGAATCACTTTGCTCAATTTTCCCAGGGAGAAAATATTTTGTGATTATTTCTAGTATAACTTTGGGGAATACATGAATTTGTGCCAACTGGGAAAAGTGAGAGGATAGAAACCATTTCCTTGATTTTTTTTTTTTTTTTGAGTTGGAGTCTCACTCTGTCGCTCAGACTGGAGTGCACTGGCCGCTCCCGGCCACCGCAACCTCGATCTGCTGGGCTCTGGCGATCCTTCCGCCTCAGCCTTCTGAGTAGCCGGAACTACAGGTGCACGCTACCACACTCGGCTGATTTTTTTATTTATTGTAGAGATGAGGTCTCGCCAAGTTGCCCAGGCGGGTCTCGAACCCACAGGCTCAGGCAATCCACTCACCTCAGCCTCCCAAGGCACGGGATTACAGGCTGAGCCACCGAGCCCAGCTCATTTCCTTGATTTTTACACTGAGAGACATTAAAAAGCTGCTTGTGCTGGGGAATTAGACATATTAAAGACAATCCTAAATGTTGTACTGTGTTGAACGTGAGGCCAAAGGCACTGATAACTTTTTTTTTTTTTTTTGAGTTGGAGTCTTACTCTGTCACCCAAACTGGAGTGCAGTGGCATACTCCTGGCCACTGCAGTCTCATCTTGCTGGGCTCCAGTGATCCTTCCGCCTCAGCCTTCCAAGTAGCCGGAACTACAGGTGCATGCTACCACACCTGGCTGATTTTTTATTTACTGTACAGACGAGATCTCGCCAGGTTGCTGAGGTGGGTCTCGAACCCGTGGCCTCAGGCAATCCACTTGCCTCGGTTTTTCAAAGTGCTGGGATTACAGGCTGAGCCACCGAGCCCGGTTCTATTTTTAACCACTGACCCATTAACAACATAGAAGTTAATAGAATTGGAAAAAAAAAGACAGAAAGAAATGCATCAAAGTATAAACAGAGTATAAAACATTCAAGAATGTTTTGTATCTGTTTTTGAGCTTTCCGTAATTTTAAATGAGTGGAGAAGAGAATAATTTTAAATGAGAGGAGAATAAAAGCATTATTTTAAAAATATGTAATGGGTCAGGCATGATAGATCACACCTGTAATCCCAGCACTTTGGGAGGCCAAGGTGGGAGGATTGCTTGAGTCCAGGAGTTCAAGATCAGCCTAGGCAACATAGCAAGACCTCATCTCTACAAAGAAAATTTAAAAATTAGCCATGTTTGGTGGCATGCTCCTGTCGTCCCAACTATTCAGGAGGCTGAGGTAGAAGGATCGCCTGCGCCCAGGAGATTGAGGCTGTGGTGAGCTGAGATTGTGCCACTGTACTCCAGCCTGGGTGACAGAATAAGACCCCCAACTCAAAACATAAAATAAAATACATAATGGAAAATAATTTAGCCTTTCTGGAATAACAATGATGGTTCCTTTTATGGCATACATTTTTATTACTAAAAATGTGATTATGTTTTGAAATTGTCTTGAAATGTTAACTTGCAAAAACAGCTAACTAGCTAAAGACATGAAAATTAAATAAATAGCAGGTTTCAGCAGAGGAGGAAAATTGTGGCTTTTCCTCTCAAGTTTCCCAATCCTGATTGTACTGTTACCAGTTAAGTAGAGGGGTAGGGTTGCTAAAGCCACAGAAAGAGAACTGAACTAGGGAGAACATTTCTTCCAAGAAGAACTGACTGACTGGATAGGGAGCCTACATGGTGGCAGGAATTTTGTAGAGGGAAACAAGGACAAAAGGGTCCTCAACTGGTCCAGGAGGGAGGATGTGGAGATAGCATTGCTTCCCCCCACCTCAATAGTCCTTTAATAATATAGATGAGGCACTGAGATATAAAGACACAACACACATACAAAAGTTTTTTTTCTAAACCATCCCCTTTTCCCCAGAACGAGCTCCTTTGCTTACCTCCCTTCCTTTTGTAACTTGAGGTACTTATGGTGTCTGGGAGTAGTTGGGGCAGGGATGAGAGCTACTAAAGTGGCTTGGCCAGGCTACCCCAGGGAAGGATAGGATTGGACTGGGAGAATGACTGGGGATTCAACAGAAGTAGATAATTGGCTGCAGATACTTGAATGTCAGGTTTTGTAAAGGATAAAATGTATTATATATGTGAATTATTTAATATATAGACTACCTGGTGCCTGTGCGCTGGAGTAGTCTTATTTTCAGGCTACTAAATGGGAATTCCAACCTGCCTTTTTCATGAGCGACATGAGTAACATGTTTAAGGGTAAAAAGTGATAGATAAATTTCCACCTTTATTTGTAGGATTCCTAGTCCTTAACACCATGCAGTTTCATCAAATGATATTTTCCTTGCAGGGTATCCAGTATTTATGTTCACTCCAAGACTTGAATTTATATTATAACAACATTCCTTCATTGGTGGAGGTGTCCCGTCTACAGCCTTTACCCTTCCTCAAAGAACTCGATTTGAGACTCAATCCTGTTGTAAGGAAAGATACAGACTATAGACTCTTTGCTGTATACACACTACAAACTCTGGAGAAGCTGGGTGAGACCCTCCGCCTGTATTCCTTTCCCCAGAATCTTACTTTAAATCAGCTGCCTCTTAACCTCTTGGATGTTGGCCCAGAGTGTGCACTGGCAGGATATATTTGTTTATTAGTCAATATTTATGTAACTCTGTTGTGTTGGCAGGATGTATGACGAGTCCCTTTATTGTTTATTGAATGACAATCTATGATTTTATCAGTTACTTCCAGCTTTAGTTTTCTTCAGTTGATGGTTTCACCACCACTTCCTCCTTAACACAGAATTTCCAGGTTGAGAATTATTTTTCCAGGTGCCCCAACTTTGCAACTGTATTAGCAATAGAAAACTAATATAACAGTTCTTTGGGGCATAGCTGGCAAGGAACAAAAAATAGTCCTTTAAATTAACTGGCCTGTATTTCCTTATAATTTTACTGAGTGTACATTTCTTATTGATACAAAATTTCACTGGGAAAGTCACTGTAGGAAAACCAAGTAAAGTCAAAAAAATGGCATGACTTTCAGCTCTAACATCAGGCCACTGGGTAGTTAGCCATCTAAGTTCTCCTTTCCTGAAGTAGTTGTGCCTGTGAAGCAATTGTTGCTATGGCTCCCTGTAGTCTCCCTGAGTTACTGCTTGCTCCAGTGACAACATAATAGCATTATTTTGTGACCTGTCTCTAACAACATGAAGATGAAACTGGTCTTTAGTTTTTCCTCTATGAATATGGTTTTCTGACCCACTACTTGTTACTCCAAAAAAAAGAAACATGCTCAGACCACGGTTTTTGCCTCCAGATGACCGAACTGTACGTGACAATGAGAGAAAAGCTGCGAAGCTGCATTTTAGTCAGTTGGGCAACAGTGAAAATTTTCTTTTAGAGGTGGAAAAAAGGTAAGAAGATTTCTTTTCTTTTTTTTTTTTTTAAGATGTGGGGTATAAACAGGATTAGGTGTACAAGTGGGCATCATACAGGTAAAGTTTGGGCCTCCCTTTGGTCTCCATTTTGCCTGGTTTGAGATCAGGTACCCAAGAAGATTCTTTACAAAAAGTTTAGGGCTGAGCCACCAGGCTCAGTGGCTCAGCTGTAATCCCAGCACTGTGGGAGGGCGAGGCGTGTGGATTACCTGAACCTGCGAGTTCGAGACCAGCCCTGGTAACTTGGCAAGACATCATCTCTACAATAAATCAAAAATTAGCTAGGTGTGGTAGCACACGCCTATAGTTCCAGTTACCTGGAAGGCTGAGGCAGAAGGATCGCCGGAGCCCAGCAGGTCAATGCTGGGGTGGACCATGTGGTTCAGCCTGGGCGACAGAGTGAGACTTCAACTCAAAAAGTTTTTAGTTTGGTTTTGACCATAGGTCATAGCGAATTCCTGCTTAACTTTATTCATTTTCCAGCAAAAATCTCCTACAAATTATACAAATCCTCAAATTAGGAATAAAAATGTCTAGTCAGCATACTGAGATTTATCTGGGATGAGAATCTGGCCTTCAGTGGGTACATTCCTGTTTTCTTGAACTATTAGCTCTACTTTGGATATAATTGATGTAAATTCTTTAAAGTTGTTATTCATAGGTTATAGATAGAGATACCATGAGATTACTTATCCCTAAAAACACTTACCAGCCCTTTCTTGGAAGAGTTATCAATCAGTTCATGGTCTTTTCATATTGAGTTAAGAGGGTTATATTACAATTATATTATTTTAATATATTGCCTAGTCTGTTCTTGAACTCCTGAGCAAGATTGTTAGAGAAAATTTGCTGAAAGAAGAGAAAAGAAGCATTACCCTGCAAAACAAAATGTAATCTTGGATCTCCATCTGAATGGTAGATTTTTCCATTTCCTGTTACTAAAATCCTATCAAAGGAAGGTACTGTTATTTTAAAGTAGCTTTATTAATTTTAAAAAATAAATAGAAGTCCTTTACAATTTAAATAATATAGAAAAGTACACTGAAAAAAGTCAAAATCACCTCATATTCTGCAACTGAGAGTTAACTATTAATAATGTTTTGTGTACAACCTTCCAGACATTCCTATACTATAGGCACATATAAGTGTATCTTTAGTGTTTTTTTCTTTTTGGTGACAAAAGTAATACGTGCATATTGTTAAGAATTTGGAAAGTACAGAAGAAAACACAAGGAATAAAATAAGTAACTCATAATCCTACCACTCAGAAAGAGGCACTAATTATAGTAAATATACTTTTAGTCTTAGGTATGTGTGTGTGTTTTTCATATATATAAATATGTGTGCATATATATATTTATGTATAAATATTTATCTTACAGTAATTTGTTTCCTATACATAGTTTTGTTTTTGTTTTTTTAAGTTGGAGTCTCTGTCGCTCAGCCTGGAGTACAATGGCATGATCACAGCTCACTGCAGCCTCAACCTAGTTCAGGCAGTCCTTCCACCTCAGTCTCTCAAGTAGCTGGGACTACAGGCTTGTGCCACCATATCTGGCTAATTTTTTGATTTTTTGTAGAGAGGAAGTCTTGCTGAATTGCTTAGACTGGTCTTGAACTCCTGGGCTCAAACAATCCTCCCACCTTGGCCTCCCAAAATTCTAAGATTAGAGGTGTGAGCTACCTATGCCTAGTCCTATGCATCCTTTTTTTTTTTTTTTTTTTTTTTTTAATGAGACAGAGTCTTGCTGTGCTCCTAGGCTGGTCTTGAACTATTGGGCGCAAGCAATTCTCACCTCAGTCTCCTGAGTCTCTGGGATTACAGGTATATGCCACCACCTGGCTCACCATTTTAAAATTTTCTTTCTTTTTTTTTGAGTAGGAGTCTCACTCTGTCACCCAGGCTGGATTGCAGTGGCACACTCACGGCCACTCCAGCATTAACCTGCTGGGCTCCAGCGATCCTTCCTCCTCAGCCTTCCAAGTAGCCAGAACTACAGATGCACACTACCACGCCCAGCTAATTTTTTATTTATTGTAGAGATGAACGAGGTCTTGCCAAGTTTCCCAGGCTGGTCTTGAACTCTCAGGCTCAGACATTCCATTCGCCTCAGCCTCACAAAGTGCTGGGATTATAAGCTGAGTCACCAAGCCCAGCCGGCTCACCATTTTATTTATTTTTAACTAATTTTTTTTAAAGATAGGGTCTCACTGTGTTGCCCATGTTGGTCTTGAACTCCTGGCCTCAAGGGATTCTCTCATCTCAGCCTCCTGAGTAGCTGGAATTACAGGCAAGTGCCACTGCGCCTGGCTTTGCCATTTTTAACTTAACAAGAAATCATTAGCCGGGCTCAGTGGCTCAGCCTGTAATCCCGCGCCTTTGGGAGGCTGAGGTGA